AGACCCACATTTCACCCTTGCTCACCATAGAATCTCCAGTAGCTCGGTGGTTAGAGCATCCAGCTAGATCACCAAGGGTCATGGGTTCAAATCCCATCTGGAACTCAGATTTTTTTCCAAGTTTATGTCATTTCTATTAATTTATTGTGCTTTTAGGATGACAAATATGATGGGAGGCGGTGCAGGAGGTGGTGGAGGTGCCGCTGGCATTTTTCAAGCGTAAGTTGCATTTCACACATGCCATCTCATGTTTTGCTAAAGCTGTTTGATATATTGGCATAGGCTTTTTGCATTTAAAAATGCATGTATTGTACCTCATACATGTAATTATCAATTGGCATCTTTTGGAATAATGTTTGAATAGAAGAACTCGTAGACAACCAGTTTGGAAACCCTATTGGGTCATTTACTCAAGGTTGACAGAAAGAGGCTTGTCTTTTATAGTGTGTTCATGTTTGTGCAGGGTTGTAGATCAGCTGCCCACATTTTGGACTATTTTTTTTTTCCTCTTCTGGATTGTTGAATTTCTGACTGATGAGTGCCTTTTCTGAAAATTTAGACATCATTTAACAAATTTTCACTTAAAACTGCATAACATATTAAGGGAGCACAGCCCTGGATGTCTATAAGGTTAGGTTTTTAGTCACATATACTTGTATAGAATTTTGGATGGCTACTTTTTGAATTCCTGGCCAATACCCTGCCCATTTGTTTAAAGCTTTGTTAATAATGGCCTTACCATAGTCAAGTGGTGGAAATTGTTCCATTCAGAGAAAAGGTAGACACCCGTGAATGTCTAAAATTGAAAGACGTTAATAAACTTGGTTGCTTCAGTGCCCAACAGTTCGGTGAACAGATGCAGCAGTCCAATCCAGAGTTGTTTGATCAGTTAAGAGGCCAGGCCCAGGCTGCCGTCGATCAACACAGAGCACAGAATCAACCCGGGGAAGGACAAGATCCCAAACCAGGTTAGAAATGCATCAATTGGACATTGCAACATTGCAACATTATAGCTAGTAAAGTAAAGAAGAAGTAAAGCCCAACTGGCTCCTAGCTCTCAACATTTAACTCCAGTTTCTGTAGCTTAGAGTGGCTACAAGTATGCTTCCCCCCTGGATCCGATGCTAGTCCTTTACAGTTTACTCCTCAGCATTCTGTCAGGTTGCCGGGATAATCCACTACTACCTACTCCTGGGCCAGGTTGTTCAAAGCCTGATTAAGCTAACCCAGGATTAGCAAGAATTTTGATTTCAGTTTTGTAACTTTCTGGTGACGGTTTCAATTTATATTGTTTGTCTTTCAGTTCTGAGTTTGAATAATCTCAAACTACACAAAACCAAAGCAGCAAAAACTGTTTATACAAGAAAAATTGATACTTCAGTCAGTTACTTTTTAACCTGGGTTAGTGTTAACTGGCTTTTGAACAAACCATCCCTGGATGGAGAGAGGCACTGTGAGATTATAAAAGTGTCTTGTCCCCAAAAAAACAAAACCCAACTACATGTACCCTAGCCAGGGCTTGAACCTGAATCGATTAATCTGGAGTGCAGTGTACTAACCATTAGGTCACCACCTCCTCACAATCAAAATCAACTTGTGTGCATTGTATCTAGTAAATCCTAAGGTTTCAATTGATTCAGAGATGGTTCTGCAGCAGAGGGAGTGTGAGCGACCTCAGAGCAATATCCAATCAGATTGGTGAAGGCTCTTGACACATACATGTAGAACTGTGTTCTTGACTCTTTGTATACATTTTTCCTCTGCAGATGATGGAGATGCTAGTTCACAGTAACCCAGTGGTCCTTGAATTCTGATTAATTATAGCTAAAAATATTTAGTGTGTATCATATTGGATGGATGAGCCTTGAAGAATTATAAAGGTAGAAAGAGAGATCAGCATAGCTTAGTCTGCCTGTTTTCCTCTGACCCAGAGTGCTGTTCATTTTGGGAGATTCTGTGAAGAACAATTGTATTTCCAGGCAGACACAATCCTACAAATCAATAAGTAATCTACCAAAATGAACAGATTAGGTAAGTGTCAGATATGAAATGAAAAAGAAAATATTCTGTCCGTAGGGGCTTTGATCTCTGCTGAAAAGATAAACATGCCAAGAAAACCTTATTACCAATCTGTTAAAGTGCACTCCTTCAGGTCACACTGTACAAGTGTTTCAACTTTCTTGTTGATCTAAAGAGGAATGAGTGACAGTCTAGTTTTGATCACTTAACTTATAAAAAGATCAATTTAAAGTGTTACAAAATAAATCATTTTAGAAGGTAAATAATATTTAAAATCCATGTGTGTGTTTAAATACATATCTAATTTATAAGTTGTTGAACTTGATTCTTGAAATAACAGGGACATGAAGTAGACCAGGTAGCCTAAACGCTAGCCTGCAAATTTGTTCAGTGTTTCTCACAAAATGCCAAACTATAGCCTATCGGGAGTGGAGAGAGGGGGCTTTATTCACAGGCTACCTCCTAAATGAATTATCTTTTGTTTGCCTGTGCCACCTTTTTGATTACTTGATGGGCCAAAAGGTTTTGGCTAACAATTACAGTCGAACCTCCACTTGGGACGACCTCTTGTAAGTGACCACCTCTCCTCAGTGACTAGTTTTCCAAAATACCAAAAGTTTTCAAGTCAAATCACTACAAGTATTTGGAACCTCTTGTAAGCAGCCACCTCTCGCAAGCGACTGCAACCACTTTCAGAACTAAAAGTTTGAAATTTTCTTTTGAATCTAACCTCCTGTAAGTGACTGCTTGACAGATAACAGAGTGAAAATTGGATTTAAAGTGTTGTAACATTTTTGCATTCCTGGAAAGTACATGAGACGGACATTTCTCAATGGGAAGTACTTTTCATGCGAATACAACATTTAAAACATGTGGTAAGGCTCTGCAGTTTACAATATGTTAATGAGGCAAAGTTTTGTCCCAATATGGTCTAATCTCTCATAAGCGGCCACCTCCCGTAAGCGACCACTTAGGTTTGAGATTTTGGGTGGTTAGTTACGGGAGGTTCGACTGTAGTCAAAATCAGCCAAGGCTAATATCCAAGACTAATAATATTGCCTAAGGATTTTCATTTAAGTCTATGAAACTGGTATTTTATTTAATATTGTTATGCCTCTATAATTTCTAAGCCAATAATATAGTAACCAATGGAGAGAAGTGTTGTGTCCTAATCATAGGTTTGCAGTGTTTTTAAAGGTCAACTTGTCACAAAAATAATTTTGACAAAATTTGTAAATCAGTTATGGAACATTTAGTATGCAGTCACTGTGTTCATGTATTTGTAAAATTATACAAAAAATATGTCAAAATATATAGGTTCTGCTACCATTACCACTCACTTCTAAATAGCATTGAAATATCCTAAAAATTTGTCACCTTGGGACATTCCAAATTTTTTCAAGATACTTTATTTCGAGATTGAAGCACTCTATGTTCTTTAGTTTAGCATATGTGAAACTAATAGCCTTAGTTACAGGGTTGAAAGTTCAGCTCCTGATATGAGAATCACCTGATTGGTCTGGACATGTGAGCTGTTTTGTGTCCTGATAACTTCCTCCCTCCCTCCCCACCCTGCAGACTATTTAGCAACGCTTCCGTAGGGCAAAGATCTCTTCTTCAATTCTTTTTACGAATGTGTTATTAGCTTTACAGAAGCAGATCTATCGTCTTCCAAGTACCCCCAAGTAAAACAAAGTTTACAAACCCTCTCTTATGTGTATTTTGCAATGTCGACAAAACATTACTTGGACGGGAGGAGTGAAATGGTTGATGTTCCGGTGCCCCGTCCCTACCATGGTTGATCCTCGGAATTGGTACTCTAGACATAGCTTAGAGAACTTCATGTTTGAAGACTGCTCGAACATTTGAGCAGATTTCATCTAAAAAATGGGTTTTCATTGGTCTTTAGCTGCCATTGCTGCTGGTTACCTTGTAGGTGAATTTCTACGTGAAATTCTTCGGCGACTACTCCCAAAAACGTACTACATATACGCCAACGAACTCATCTCCACTTTTCAGTTGTCTGTTTGCGTCTTCGAGATATCAGTCATCGGAAGATTCTATAACGTCTGGATTGCACTGTTCTGTTCTTTTTGCCTGTTAACATTAAAAAATGCCGAATACATTTTCGAGGGAGCATTCGCGAATCCATGTGGCCTTATGGAAGACTTCGTGTACAAGAAAGGGTATTGGATAGCGGACAATGTAACGAAAATTGTATTTCAACTTTTTGGCGCCCTTCTGAGCTTTCCGTTCATTCAAATGCTGTGGAAGTCAACGTGGAGTGATCTACACCATCAGCAAGTGAGGAAGGGTTTGCGATCTACACTGGAAGTTTCTCTGTTGTACGGAATTTCGATCGAAATTTTGGGCACGTTCGTGACGACAATCAGTGACTTCTTGTCGCGTGGCGGACTCAAGAAGTTCAACCCTGTCATTCGATCGGCGTTGTGCGTCCTGGTTAGTTACTTTCTCGCCGAAACCACTGGAACATGGATGAATCCAGCCCTGGCCACTGCTCATTCGTTTGTGTTTTGCACGAAGAAGGAAGTAATATGGGAGCATTTGTTCGTGTTTTGGCTCGGACCGATTGTTGGGACGCTAGCCGCTATCGAGGTAAACACGAGATTATTGAAGCCCGAGGACAAAAGAAAGAAGAAAAGCTTGGCGAAGAAGATCAAAAAATCTTCAGCAAAGAATCATAAAAATGGAACACTGAAGCCTTCCTCGGAAATGAAGAAAAGACACGCCAAAAACGCGTAAAATTAATTTTAGTGTTACTTGTTCCGATATAGTGAACTAAAAAGTTGCAAATTAACAGACAATAAGTGCTTCAAATTGAGAGTTGCACAATATCCCGTCTAGTTTTCGAACGATTTTATGAAAAATGTTAAGTTTTTAATTTCTTAAGTGATGATTCGCTTTACTTTCTTTAGGGAAATATTCCTCCATGTTCGGGCAACAGGAAGTGTTAATTATCGTATTTGTATTTAAAAAATCGTGTATAAATTGACACAAAATGTAACAGTGTTCCTGGAGTCTATCACAGCATATTTAAAATTTTTGACTACGTGGGGCAGTAGTCTCGCAATAGGAGAGCTTATCGGTAAATTTAAGAAATCTTTTCATTTTGTGGTATGTACAGGTAATTGCATATACTATATTTTAACTGGTTGCACATTTTAGGTGATAAATATTCATTATACGTGATGAGACAAACTAAATGGCGCTTTATGTTCAGTAGCGCATGAAACTGACTGTGATAGACTGGAAAATTATCCTGGGATTTACGAAAAAAGAACAACCTAGCTTGAGCGGTTCACCCAAATTTTTAAAAAAAATTGGTCATAGCAATTTCTATTCCATCTAATTGTGCCACCAAAATTTGTCTGAATGGTTTGAATTCTAAAAATCCAACAATTTTTAGATTATCTTCAGACGTAATATTTACCAGGAAATTTCCAAACCATTTGCCTGCTTACCCAAATTTTCAGAATTTCTAGTAGAACAGGGAGCACCACATTGAAAGTATTTGTAAGTAGATACATGTATTGCTATTTTAATAGCCTGCAATTACAGGCTCCTGCCCTGATCGCTTCACTCTCCGAATTCTTCTGTTTCGTGCTCCCCAAAATTTTCTTTCCGTCCTTGCCGGGAGCCTGTTCGCAGGTTATGCTATTAATGGCAAGTACCTGGGCAGTCATTTCTTTTAGCCAATTCTAGATTGAAAAAGATGGGGGTAAGTTACCTTAAAACTAATAGGCCTATCACTGTTTTTGATGCCATCTTGATGGGTAGGCAAAGTGGTCAGAAATTACAGTGTTTGTGTGGGAATCAGATGACAAAATTAAGAACTTTTTTTAAATACTGAATTTTGCACAACTTGTGCATCACAACTTTATCATACTAGGTAGCAGATTGTATTCACCAAATTTGAAGAACGTAGTGGGATTTCCAATACATTTGTCTATAAATGTTTTTCTCGGGAAGCGTATCTACCCAGCCAAATTTGCAGACAAATGTACTGAAAATAAAAATTCACTGAGTGTCATTTAGTCAAGTTACATCCTTCACACTTGGTGAATGCAATCTTCTACCTTTTTAGTGCAAAGTGCACTATTGGGATGGTTATGGGAGCTGCCTGGCCCTAAGGAAATAAGGCGTTAAGGCCCTATGGCACTGAGGTGTAAACTTTAATGTTTGTTTAATCAATTAATTTCAGTCAATTAATTAGTCTAGAGGCAAGGAAGTAGTAGGGGTAGGGTGGGAAAGGTACATGTGTACACTACGTAAAACACATTCCATTCCCGTTACTTAGCTTTGAACATTGCAAAGCTATATATTTGTTCCAGGTAACCCCTTGCTCTCCTTGTGGTACCATTCTCCTTAGAACAAAACTAATTTGCCCTAAACGCATGCGTAGATTAGTTAGCGTTCGTGGCTTCTATATTAGGTGAAGGATACATTGCATATGGAATCGTGCACAAATGTTGAGTGGTTTTCCTTATGGTAGAGCTCAAAATGTAAGACGCATGCGTTCTAGCATCGTTGGTGTTATACACTATCTTTCCACACGGTATTTTATATATCATGTCATGTGACCAAGGACGGCAGTTATTTTTCAGGTAGCACCAATTGTCCCTTTTTATTNTCCTGTAATAGGTGGTCATTCGGGTGTAACAATTCTGCCTCTTCTATCACAGGTGGGTTGTTAGGGGATAGAGCTTGGAGTTTTTGTGTGTATAATTATTATACAAAATTGATTAGGGTATACAAAATTGTTCACAATATTTACTTCTGGCATATCATTATAACAATACAATATTTAGTATGGCTTTTATGGTGGGACCCCAACCACCTTAATTGCCCAAAACAAACCAAAAACCACATATGGAGCAGAGTCATCAATGACTGAAGCAAAGCTATAATCAGGTTAGCATTGGAATACATTGTTCATTTTTTCAATGAATGATATTTAGAATCATGTCACACTGAAAGCACATTGAAAACACTAACAACAACTCCAAGCCATTGCTAAACCAATAGTCTATTCTTTTAAAGTGCATATGACATGAAAAATAATTTCTGCTTATTTGAAAATTAGTACATTTGTTCCTTATTTTGCCTTTTTAGTGCAGAGTGCACTATTGAGATGGTTTGGGGGGCTGTTGTTTGCTAAGCCACTAACACAATAAGGTGTAAACTTTAATGTTTGTTTGATTATTGAATTAATTTAGCCTTGCAGGAAGAGGGGCTTGGTAGAGTAGGTACCTGTGTGCACTACGCAAAACGTGTCATACTTACATTCCTTTTTTGATAACATGACAAAAATATGTATTTTTATATATGGTTTTGCAAATCTCTTGCTATCCTTGTGGTAAGAACAAAAGCAATTTGCTCGAAACGCATGCTCAGATTAGTTAGCGTCAAAGTCGACTACATGTTAGACGTGTCTATATTTTGATATTTAGATTTATTTAGCTCTTTCATTTATCAGTGAAATGAAAATTCACATTTTGAATAAAACAAAATCGTTCCTCTGCGATTTTTCTGCAGATATTTGAAGGCTTTTGTGCAAAAAGGGCGTATATAGCATTTTGGGGCGATTTTTATTTTTTGCAGGATTGAGCTAATTTTTGGCAGACTGACTTGTTTTGACGTGAAAAGCATCATTGCGTTATTGTTTTTGTTGATTGCGTTTCGATTTCGAGAAATAACATATGCAAAAAACTCAGTTTTCCAAGGGTATCTTTTAGAGATCTTTTGTTGAACGAAAAACAACAGAAACCTTTTGTTTTGCTAAACAATGAAGTCACTGAAGCGTGGCATTTGCCGCTAGTTGTTTCAACTGATACAAGTTTTATTATTCACATAATTACGCTATTCTCTTACTGTTGCTTTGTTAGTGCAAGCGAATAAGGCGCTGAACAGGCCGGATCCGAGTTTGTTTTGTCGTGACACCAGTTCGATACCAGGTCCGTCGTTTTTTTTTTCCCCGGGCTATTTCTCTGCTTCTTTCAAAAATAAAAACATCCGTTTAAAGAAAACTGTGCTGTCAAAGCTGCTAAAAGTAACCGTTTAAGGATTCACTCCAAGAGGCCACTCAGAAAACTGAGATTTTTTTGCATATGTTATTTCTCGAAAACAAAGCGCGAAACAGCAAAAACAATTATGCAATGATTCTTTCCATGTCAAAACAAGTTAGTCTGCCAAAAATTAGCTCGATCCTGCAAAAAATAAAATCTGCCCAAAATGCTTTTTCGTCCTTTTTGCACGAAAGCCTTCATTTAACTTTTATATTCCATTTATCTCCAGAAGTGAGTAAAAAAATACACATCTTTCTTATATTGTCAAAGAAACCAAGGTGTCTTGTTGCATATGTTGGCAAGGAAAATAAAACTATCGAGTTACAAATGTTGGCATGAAGAGTAAAATTGTCACATTTGCTACTTCTAGGTATTATTGAATTTAAAATGAATGAGACTCAGTGGAAAATACCACAATAAAATTTAAAACCATCTTGACAAACTGTAATTGTCAGTTATTTTTGGGCCTTGAAAGAAAACACACGAAACATACACACTGCTAAGATTATGTCTTATCAAGTTTTTGTCCGCTCATTTTCTGCAAAGGGGAAAAGGCCTAGTTGACTACCAAGGGAGAGAATGGCAGGGTTGAGTGTCACCTTGTGTGACTACTGTATCAGAGCCGTAAATTACACTCTTCACCATCTGAGATTATCCCACTAGTTTACATTTTCACGTACTTTCTTTCACACATATTTTTCATCTGGCACTTTAACATTTTAGCTTATAAAGGTTTTAGACTGGAAGCCAAAAGCTAAATACATTTTAAAATTGTTAACCAGAGAAGGTTTTAACATATGCTGCTCGTATGATATTGTTTGTCTTCAAGACTTCACCAAAGACATCCTTTACAGACGAGGAGACAGAGAAACTTACTGATCGCATTCAAAATGCAGGCACAGAAGTGGTGAATGCAAAAGCTGGATCTGTGAGTATTTTCTTTGTTTTTTTTTTAGGGCACCTCAATGAACATGTTATTAGATTGTAGCACACTTGTTATGAAGTAAAGTGAATGAATTAAAAAGTGAACTTGTGGACTAGAATCAAATCAAAGATCAGACTTGTGTAGATCTTTGAGGGTAAGCATCAGTAACAAGTAGTCTTTGTTATGAACCAAAAAAAAACACTCAGTTATTACAATATTTTTGGTGGTCAATGATAAATTTTGGACTTCATGGGACGGTGAGGTTGTGATCTATCCTGTGATGACATTATGCGATTCCAGAAAATATCCATACTCCCGCCACAGAAGGGATTGGAATTTCCTGGGGTGTGTGGGATTCTATGAGACCAAAACATTTAAGGAAATGTATGAAGCTTAACCGGAATTTCCAGAGAGGTGGGGAGGTATTAGAAAAAATCCCTTCTGTGGGGGAGGTATGGATATTTTCTGGAGCTACACATTGTGAAAAAGAAAAAAGGTACAAGATGGTGAGACCCATCTTGGTAGCTGGGTATTCAAGCTCACTTTATTACATCTCATACTTGGGCAAAAGCATTTCTTGTGGTTGTGCAGTAATTTTGTCTGGTTACCTTGTCAGGTAGCAGCTTTATGAGCAGCTATTGTAGAAACAGTCACTGGCCTAACTCGAGCGTAGTGTTAAATCTGGTACAATCGGGATCAGAGGTGGAAGATGGTCAATCATCTTTTGCTACTGTCATGGTCACTGTTTCGTT